AAGGCCCTATTTAGAGCCAGTGTTGGCTTGTCCGTTTTGGGCTACTGTAGAAACATGGCAATTCCACCAGGTTGACTCTGTAGAAGAGGACCCGCAAAGGCTCATTCTAAGATAACAAAAACACAACCATTCTTTTTTTCAGGTGATTACACACTCATTAAAACTTACCTATAAATATTGTATTCTGTTTCTGACAAAAGATCCTCCTGAATGTTTCACACTGGACCTTTAAATAACTTGGTAGACGTTTAATCAGTGTTCTGTCTTTTTTCATTTTCTCTCATGCAGACGCTTCATGGAGATGAAACACTACAGCGACGAGCTGCAGTCTCACATATCTCAGCTGCTCCGAACACGAGCAGTAAGTTTCTCTTTCTACCTGTCCTAGTCTCTCAGACACACACACACCGATTGAATTCACGTTTGCTTTATGCTTTAAATCTTTAAACCTGCAATAACTGATTTTTTTAGCCACTCGGGGCAGCAGATATGATTGGTATAGTTGCTTCTTTACACATCTAGCAGTCACAGATTCAGCTGAGTCTCTGTAGGTTCATCCATACCAGAGCCCCTTTTGTATTGTCACATTGTTTTCACATTGTCATCTCAAACATTTTTGTTATAACAATATCCATTATAGCTGCTTTAAAAAGATGTCATTGCCAGTGGCTGGTACTGAGCCCTCTGAGTCTCATGGGTAAAAAACGTTTTGTGCTGACATTGGAAGATTATTGTCAGAAACAACAAAATAATCTCACCGCAGGGTCCATTCAATAGCAGTAGTCATTTTTGTGCTTGAATTACTTAATTCATATGTATAAATTAATAGAACTTAATGTTAAACAATGTTGCTAAACAGCTTGAATCCAAAGCATTTCTGCCCCAAATCTAAACAAAAACTGCTTCTTTAGATAAGACTGTCCAACTGACAATTTGTACAGTTTAGTTTGTTCTGTATTAGTGTGCACAGTGGTATATGTGCAGGCTGACAGCAGCTAAAGCTGGGCAGGATTGCTATAAAGTCAGTTATAGCGGCACAACTGTATAAAATAGTGTTAAGGGGACAAGGAGAAATATAATTGACTTAGTAACCCTAATGACATGAAGAAAGAAAGAACGAAATATTCAATATATTTTTAATAATATAATGAATGGTTAAACCCCTATATAAACAGCTATATAACAGTGTTGTAAATGTAAACGGATCTTGATACATATTTTATCACCAGATTCTTGCCAATACACATTTTCTATGGGTTCCATTTACTTTCTGTCTCTTCTAGAGGGTTGCCGATCGACTCTACGGTGTTTACAAGGTCCATGGGAACTATGGAAGAGTCTTCAGGTTTGACAACAAGCATATCATTTATCTGGACATGATTAAAATAGGACCTGAATCGTGTCAAATCATTGTAGTCCAAATGAACAATTCTACCATGACAGGCTTTACAATCTGTACGGTTTACACCACCCTCTGTCTTTATACCCTCAGTTTGGATTAGGGGTGTAAGAAAATATTGAGAAATATTGTATCGCAATATTTTGTTTTGTGTTATTCATCAATCAATTCTCAAAAACACTACCAATTTTTGTGGTTGATAGCAGTGTTGTAAATGTAAACTGAAAGCTATGATGTTGGATGTTACAGAGATAAATACAAATGTAGATCCCACTGTTCCGGTTGCATAAAAAAACTTGTTTTACTCAAGATTTTATGCATGTGGTGGTGTGTTCTTCATACTACTACTATAATACTATTGTCCTACTATACTTTCCAAAATTAAAAAAATGACACTACAGTATCGCAATATTTCACAATATATTGAATCCTAACCACTGTATCTTGATACATATCGTAATACCAGATTCTTGCCAATACACAGCCTTAGTTTGGATAGGAGAAAAAGTGAAAACGTTAACATGGCAATGACAAAAAAAAACATTCAGCAATATTCAATGTGCAAAAATGATAGACAAATGGTAGAAACCTGAAGCCACCAGTGCACATACACTGAGAATGGACTTAGAGTCCAGCAGGAAAACTTTAGAAATTAGCAACATTTTCATAGGATCTGAATTTTTAATGTGCTAGAAGGGTTTCTACCTTTGAAAAATGTTATTCGGTCCTACATCAAATGTATCAGCGTGTGCAGTAGGCTCTCCTTGATGTTTTACTGCAGCGAGTGGAGCGCCATAGAGAAAGAGATGGGAGACGGACTGCAGAGTGCCGGTCATCATATGGATGCGTGAGTATTTGAATTTGGACTCACTGCCTTGCCATAATCCCCTTTGTTCCACAACAGATATAATCTCTAGATTAGAACACACACACATACTGTAGGATTGTTACTGCCACTACCAGCTGTGTTGCTCATTAAAGACAGATGTTTTTTGTCACACACCTGTAGATACGCTGCCTCAATAGATGATATCTTAGAGGAAGAGGAACATTATGCAGACCAAATGAAAGAGTATCTCTTCTATGCTGAAGCTCTGAGGTAAGACCCATCTATCTATTTTTCTAGGTTTATGACATAGTAGCTCCATTATGATGTCACCAGTTGAAGCCTGAGACAGTACTTCATTTGTACTTATTAAGATCCTCTAATCAAACTAAAAGTTGTGTTGCTACAACAGAACACGCGTTATCATGCTATGTGATAAATCAAAATTAGGGATGTCCCAATCAAGTTTTTTGGCTCTGATGCTGATCTGAATCAGAACCGGGTAAAAAAGACAGAGAATAAAAAGAGACAATATATAAAATATAAAAAGAGAGACAATATGACCATTATTTAAATAAATGAATGAAGAGCTGTACAGTTTGCAGAAATGTGCAGAATATTGTTCAGGGAATGTTCAAGTTAGCAGTGTGACATATAATGATGTTGTAATGTGCAAAAATAAAAACCAAAGCAAGTGCATTTATGTAATGCATAGATTCCAGGTGGGTGGTGGGTCTAAAGGTCAGTGTTGATGAGACTAGCTGCAGATTGGAAGAAACTGTTTTTGTGGTCCTGATGGATGAGGGTAGTGCTTCAAAGAGTTGGTGTCCGGGGTGGGAGGGGTCAACCACAACTTTACCTGCACGCCTCAAGGTCCTGGAGGCATGCAGGTCCTGGAGGGAATGATACGCTGCAGTCTGCCCTTGTCCTTGGCAGTGGCAGCAGCGTACCAGATGGTGATGGAGGAGGTGAGGATGGACTCCATGATGGCGGTGTAGAAGTGTACCATCTGGTATCTGGTAATCTGACACTAGCTACTGGATCCAAATTTTGAAGGTCCTGATTCAAAACTAGGAAGTTTCTAAGCTTCAGATCCATTCAAATATGAATGGATGGATCTGCCCTGATACTGATCCTTAAGATTGGCTTGGGGTATCTCTCATTATATCTATGATGAGGTTAGATAAGCTTGCAATGCTTAGAGCTGCTACAAGGAACATGGACAGAAGCAGTAGTGTGTCTACCCCCTTTTTGAATTGGGAATCCAACCAAATCCTACCCAGTGGCAGTCTTCTCACTGATGGCCTGTAGGTCATATAGAAGCATCAGCATTAAACTGAGACTATTTATAACCAGTTAAAAACTCCTTCTAGTAAGTTTAAATATAAAACTGAAATATCACAAGTTAGGATAGGAGTTTTAAAAACATTAAAGTAAAATTAATGAATTATAAATAATCTATGTTGTTTTAATTTTATGGTATTTTAGTCTGTGCCTTGGACAAATTATTGTTCTGGTTAGAGGATAACTGTGTCTGTTTGAAAAGTGGAAAACGCTTTGTTGAGAACAGCCAAGCGCCTCACAAAAGTGAGCTAACACAGATGACCACCTATAGCTGACCACTATTGTGAGCAATTGCTGTCCTGTATTATGAAGGAAAAATGCTGGAAAATGCCCTGGAAAGGCCTGGGAAAACAATTTGTTAAAAAGAGTGGGAATCCAGATGGGATTTCAAACAAGCTGATAATCAGTGGGAGCCAAATCTGAACATGGCTGTTCATTTTTTGGTTAGGCCCACCTTTTTAGTCTCAGCTTTCACACATGGCACCAGCACATAGTGCCATAAAACTAGGTCAAAATGTCTGAGAGAAAAAAAAAAAGCTGAAATGAGCTGTGAGTGGCTCAGAAAGCTGTGCTGTTGGATCTGTAGTAAGGTTTTATCAGATAGTGACCAAAATTCAAATCAAGTCATTTTTGTGAGAGTCGAGTCAAGTCGAGTCAAGTCAAGTCAAGTCATAGCTTAGCAAGTCACAAGTCAAGTCATAG